AGCACCATGTCCAGATCTACCAAGTTCAAACTCATCTAGGTGGGTGTGGCTTGGATCTGGCTGCTATGCTCCACTTCTTCCTGCTGCAGCCCTTGGAGGTGAACCCTCTGTGCCACTCTGGCAAGATGTTCTGCTCTTGGACCAGCTGGGTGGTTCTTGTCTCTAGCCTCTCTACAGGGAGTTCTGCTGCAGGGTTCCAAACCAGGCCTGTATGTCAGGTCTGGGCTGTTTGTCAAATGAGGATCTGGTGAGCCCCCAGCATTCTCACTCACACACTGGCCCAGGGCTCTGGGTCGAATGAGGATCCAGTGGGCCCCAGGCAGGCTCACTCACATGCTGGGCCTGGGCTCTGGGTTGAGTGAGGATAAGTATACAAGTTATAATATTTTATATAGTTAGCATGGAAATAGTATATATAACTGTCTTGGCCTTGTTGCTATTTAGCCCAAAAACTTTCTTGTCTTATTTTGTAAAATTTTGTTAGGTTTACCTTGAACAGGATGTCTTACTTACTCTTCTCTTGTTGCTGGAACAAATACCTGACCCCCAAAATGAAGGAAGGAAAGGTTTATTTAGCTCACCGTTTCTGGAGGTTTCAGTCCATACTCAGCTGGCTCCAAGGCAGAGCAGCCCATGGCAGAGAGCAACCTTCCATCTCAGTGGCAAAGAGCAAGGGAGAAAAATAGAAGAGCAGCAGCAACAAGGGCAACAGAGAGCAAGTCTGTCTCTCTGTCTCTCTTATGTTACATTCAGGCTCTCCACCCCAGGCTAGGTGTAGTGCTCACACCCATAATACCAGCAGTACTAAGACCCATAATCCCAATGGGTCATGAGTTAATCTCAAACTCTAGAAGTCCCTGCCCCATGACTGCATGAGGCTTTGGTGGGGACAACTAGACACAAACCACAACATAGGAGTATATTTGCTATGTCAAGGCAAAGCAACAGAGCACTGATTCTTCAACTAAATTAGTGAATGGCAACAAAATTCACAAAAATATATAAAGCTATCTAGACCCCAAATAGCACTGAGAAAGAGTTCCTATATTTGAGCATTCAAATATCAACAATATTCCAATTTACGTGCCTATTTGTATTATTGATTTTGTGAAGCCAACAGACAGGATGGCAACTTCTTAATGATCACTAGTCACACACAAGTCTTGGGACCCAGAACTAACTATGATCTTGGTTACTGGATCTTTCAAAAACCTAGACCAAAGGTGAGAGAGACAGCTCAGCAGACTAATCACCTGATTAGGAAAGCACAAGGACAAACGTTCAATCCCCAGTGCCACAAGCCACACCAGTCTTGCCCCCAGAAATGCTAAGCAGGCCACCACAACCCAGCATGGTGGTGCAGGCCTGTAATCCCAGGGCTGAGGAGGCTGAAAACAGGAAGATCACAAGTCCAAGCTGCATAGCAAGACCTTGTACCAAATGAATTTTTAAAAAAATTAAAAAAAAACCTAGACCAAAGATGAAGATATAGATTCTGGCCAAGTACTTAGATCAAGAATAAGGTTCTGCATTTTAGTTAGAAAGAAAACAGGGGCTGGGGGAGATAGCTCAATGGCATAAGCACTTGCCTCGCAAGCACAAGGTCCCAAGTTCAACCCCTGGAACAGAAAGAAAGAAGAAAAGCAAGCCAGCAAACAAGAAAGAAAGAAAATATACAATGACATGTATAAATCACATAATTTCTTTGAGATTTGGGTACAATAAGAAGTAAAGCCATGCTGTTATGTTGAGCTGTAGGGGACTCAGGTCAACAATTTCTGACATTGCCAATCAAGTGGAAGACCCAACACTATTATGGATTACTGGACTCTTTTAGAATATTTTGCTGAGTTAACACACCTATAATATTCAAATAATGGAACTAAACAAAAAAGGGGATACAGATGAATGTCCATTTTGTATCCGTGTATTCAAAATGGTTAGGATAGATATGTTACATATGTTAAATGTAACATTCTCTTAATGAATAGAGGGATTTGTTCTAATAGTGTTTGTAAATAGGATATCATGTCCACATCTTGTACAGCAAATAACTACTAGGAAGAGAGTATGGAATGTGTTAATTATTGAAGCTGTCCTACTAATTTGTTTTGAAACAGTCTCATTGCTATTTGTTTCTCAATAAAATTATGGGGAAAAAAAGATTTGGGTACATGTGTTTTTTGTGTCCTAAAATCCAGAACATGACGCATTTCTTTGAAGCGTCATCAAGAGGTCTGGCTTTGTTTTTTTCTCCATATAAAGGTCCTTATTAGGACATACATAGGAAATGGGCTTATAAATTACATGTCCATAATTATAAGAGAGGGTGCTTCTATTCTATGGGAGAAAAGACTGCTACCATGAGGTGTTTATAGAGAAGTTCTTCCCTATAAATTTTTCTAGTGTGTTTATAAGGAAAAAGTACAAAGATAATTCACACACAACCACATTCACAGTTTTTTGTTATAAGAAATTAGCATTCCTTACAATATATATGCATTAATCAAGAGTTGTATACATTTAGCAGTCGACCACCTAATTTTCTCATAGCCAGTGTTACTAAGGCATGCTTCTAACAACAAATCATAGAGGCTGTGACAGATTCCGAGTTTGATGCAAAACATTTTCACATTGCTGCCAACTGCATAGGTGCCCCTTACCCCGGGGCCATCTGTAGTAAGGTGTTCAATCACCATACTCCGTGCTACCTGACTTATTAGGGAGACAGGCTTCAGGGTCACACTGTCTGGCTTAAAAGCCTAACTACGTGTCATTTGGTCGAGTACTTAGTATGTTTGCTGAAATTTTTTTCATTTTAAAAGATGGGAATAAAATAATTCCAATTAGCTGGTTCCCATATTAGCTTCTCATTGCTATGAAAAATAACCAAGATAATAAACTTTTAAGGAGAAAAGATTTATTTTGGCTCATGGTTTCAGAGGTCTCAGTTGGTCCATTGTCTTTGTAGGCTTAGGGTCTCCATAACCCCTGCAAGTCACACCCCACTGACCTAACTATCTTCCACTAGGCTCCACTTCTTTGAGACTCCATTATCTCCCATTGCCCCCAGACATGCTAAGCAGGCCACCACAACCCAGCATGGTGGTGCAGGCCTGTAACGACATGGCTGGTGACCATGTCGTTAAGAGAAGGCCTTTGAGGAAGAATATTTAATATCCAAACTACAACATTTAGTGAGAGGATTAAGTAAAGTAAATGTAAAGCTGCTAGCATAAATGAAATAATATAGCATAGCCATTTTCCTTAGCATCAGAACACCTGAGCCTGTGAGCAAGAGATGTTATGGCACTGATTGAGAACTATCAGAGAAAAGCTAGGGAATGATATAACTAATAGCTATCAGCTAAAGCCTAATGCAATTGGATTCTGCTAATGACTTTTGGTCTACCTTGTGAAGAAGAATTTTTAGTATACCCCCTTTCTCTGTAATAGTTTTAGTACCCATTCATATGCATAACATCAAAAGACAGATGTGTATGATCCCAAGTTGAGTTGTGTAGAGGTTATAGTTACAAGTGCAGGGTCTGGCTTTGGATTTTCTCATTCTTCCGTGAACCAGACGTGTGACCCTGGCAAGTTGCCAAACATTCTGTGTCTTGCTTTTCTCACCTGCATAATGGGATACTAATCATAACCATTGCAAAGTTTTGCTCTAAGGACAAAACAGTTTGATTCACATAAAATACACGGTTCATGGTGCATACTGAAGAACTCAAAACTAATGACTGATCATAGATACATTTGTTGCAAATAGGGAAAATAATCCACCATTTTTTAAAGACTTACATATCACCCATATCAAGAGAACTTGTTATAAGTGTTAGGTCTTGTTTTATTGCAGTGACAATTGAACCCATAGCGTCCCACATGTAAGGCGAGTGCTCTCCCATTGAGCTACACTCCAAGCTCATTAGAAATAATGTAAATAGAGTTAAGAAGGAAGCAACAAGCAAGTTCCTATTTCCATTTAGTTGGAGAAAGCTCACTGGGGGAAAAAGAAATCTCTACAGCACTTACAGAAAGGAGGTCCACAATGTAGTGGACTCTGTGTACAGAAAGTAGACAGAAGAATTCACAAGGTGAGGAAAGGATAGCGAATGAAATGAAAAGGTAAGTAGGTTTACTTATTTGGAACAAGAGGATAGATCATAGGGATAGAAAAAGAAAATGTGGGCCATTGCAAGAATTCCGTTAAAACTACATTGACTATAATGTGAACTGCTGTAATATAAATAACTGTGACACTAGCTGTTCTAATGGAAATTCTGAACTATTAGTGACTTAACAACTCATATCACAGTATACAGTTGAGTGATTTCTGGCTGGACTGCTGTATTCCAAGTAGATGAAAGATCCCAGCTCCTGCTGTATCATAGATCTACTGTCTCCCACACAGCTAGCCCTATGGACCCCTTGCAGGGACTTCGGCTTCAACCAATAGGAAAAGAAGATGACATGGAATTTTGGAGGTGGAGAACTTTACAGGACAAGCCTGGAAGCACTGCTGCTTGGTTCACTTTCCACTAGAAAGGACTCAATTGCATAGCTACATTCACGTTTGATTGTATCCCTAAGAGAAAGTAATATAGGTGCTGAAACATCTTTATGCAACATAAATGTACTCTTTATTAAAGGGTACAAACCAAAACAAATCCATAATCTAACTGGGAACAAGAGAAAACAATTACATTTGAAGATTTAGGGACACCTGGACTGAATCTGTCTTATAACTATAGAATAAAGATGAATGGCTTAATTTTTATGCAAATCAGAATCCTGTTCCTCAGAAAACACTTCTATGATTATAGGGAAAATAACTGCCTGAGTCCTTAATCTGTACTAAGATAAATATCTATATCTATATATCTATATCTATATTGCCAGTCTTATTTACCACTATTTACTGATGTCAAGTAGGAATCTGTATTTGCATTTTGAGATTAAGAATTTCAATACTGAGAAAAGTCTCCATTTACCCAAGATCATAGAGACAAGAAGAGGCACAGTCAAGATTCAGATTTAGCTTCAGTTCCGAAGCCCTCAGTCTGTGGCTCCTGTGGCTCCTGTGGCTCCTGTGGCTCCTGGTGACTCCTGGGTTCAGCAGTGCTTGCACAGATCTGCTTGGTATGCAGCCTACGTGGCTGCAAAATTTAGTCCACATGGTGAGCATCAGATGTCTAATATAACAAACACACTCCAAAGTGAAAAACGTGAGACAGAATATCTTGTTACCTCTCAAAACTCTACAGGTTGGAGGCTTCTTCTTTTCCACTTACCTTAAGCTGGAGTCATTCATGAGGTGGCAATCCCTGCCTGCATCTGGGCTGGCTGGAAGCTCCACAGAGGTCTCTCTGACATGTCCCAGTCCTGACATTGTCATCTGCCATGCCTGGATTCTCTCCACACTTTTTCTGTGGCTTTTCCTCCTCCAAGTCCTCTCTGTATGGCCTCATTTTCAAGAATAATCTAGACTTTGTTACATCATGGGGCCACTTACCAAAAGGGAAAAACTGAGGCCAGACCTGGAACTGGCTCTCCACTCCTTCTCTCGCGTTCTATTGGCCAAGGAAGTCCAGTGGTTCTCCTAGATTAAAGTAGTGGGAAAGCACCTGCATTCATTGGTGTGAGGAGTAGGAGCAGAAAACTGGTTCTCAACATAGCATCTTTTGTTTGAGGGGCACTGTTGTCTCAGCTAAACTCTTGAAAGCAGAATCTCCATCTTCCTGGTGTTGACATTTGTTCTCTTTGTCCATACAATGATTTTCAGAGATAGAAATTGGGCTGGGGAGACAGTTTGGTACTCTAAGCACCTGCCTGGCAAGTGCAGGGACCGGAATTCAACCCCTGGTATGGCACGGCATGTCCTGCTGGCCTCCAAAACCAGGCGTGGTGGTGCATGCCTGTAATCCCAGTGCTGGAGAGGCTAAGGCAGGAGGATCACTAAGAGTCCAAGCTTTCTGGTGAGACCCTGTGCCAAATAAATAAATAAATATATAAATAATTAAATAATATCAACTATCAGTTGAAGACACTAACTTGTTTAATTTTTTTTCCAGAGGAAAAGCAATCTGGAACACCCTTAACACTACACAGCTGCTTAGGGCAGCTGAAGCCTGCTGCTGGAATGTGGTAAATAGCTCTTTCCAGCTATTTTCCTGAGTGGCTATGGAAATGCACCCCCATGTCTTCAGTGTGCCTCCCTTTCTGTGCCCAGTTAACTCAGATGCTCATCTGTCTGCCTGAACTAAGACTCGGTCTTTCTGTTGGAAATAATGATATGTGGTACATTTGAGAGTCCATTTGAAATGACAATGTAAAATTTATGATGAATTAATAACCCCATGCAAAGATTCCACGAGATGTAAGTTCTGTCTACTTTTGTTGGATATCTCTTACAAGAAAATTAAATTGCCCTAGTATCTACATTAAAAATATCTTGGCTCTTACATTATCTACTTTGAAGTACAGATAGTTGTAAGTCTTATGCTAGGCATGATAATCTTGGCTATCTAATATAGTATAAACCCTTTATAAAGGGTTTTTGGGAGATTAGGTATATGCACACATACAAGCCAATAAATAAGATGAAAAATAAAGGGATAAAATTGTACAAGCATGAAAGAGTAAGAATGAAGAGAAATCAGCAGTTAGGTGATCTTATTTGTAAAACACAGAGATGGCTTTTAGGAAAGTGAGGTACATTGGTTACGTTTACACTGCCTTCTTTATATTATGTACACAGAATTGTACATATATGATTTTCTGTATTAGAAGTCACACCTTTTACTTCCATTCAGGTCTTTCTTTTAAGACCTCTGTAAGGAGCTAAGAGTGAACATTAGGAGAGTTGGATTCAAGAGCAAAGGCCTGGGGCTTGTTCCTGGAAAAATAAAGGTTGTTCATCTGGGAATTCTCTATACCTTTACTATTTAAGGAAAGATGGAGCAGTAATTGACATGTGGCTCTTTTTTTTTTTTTTGCACTCAATGACCTCAGGGCAGGTTTGGCTCTCTTGAGTTGTGGGAATCGAACCACAGCAACCTGAGCCTGACTGCTTTGTTGAAGCAGCCAACATGTGACTCTTGACAGATGTGGACAAGGGACAAGCGTCTAACGAAGCCCCTTGGAGATTTTTACAAAACATGGTGATGAGTCCTGTCTCCATGCTATGTAACCTCAAGCATACAACTGAATACCCTCCCCTACCCTGAGTGCCTAACAGGTCCTCATGCAGATGCTATAGGACTCTAACAGCATCTGGCCAAAGAATGGAATTCTCTCACTTCACCAAAAGGGCATCAACAACAGAGACCACTGAGTGTGGAGCTGCTTTGGTATACACTTTCACGAATCTCTCTTGATACAGATAGATTGCCCTGGAGAAAAATGCCACCCCATATTTCCCCTTCTGCCTCTCAGCTTGTATCTAGGCATGCACTGAAAAATTACTGAATTCATTGTTTTGTTCCAAAATAATATCAGCACTTTATTTGATCAAATAGCAGGATGCTAGAAATACGAATACACATGCTGTTAGAATAACATTGCACACGCATAAGAATTAGATTTAGAAAGGACACATTTTCTCCATCTTTGCGCAACATCTATACGAAAAGTTGGAAAACAGTCAGTCCCGCAGATGTTCTAAATATCCAGATGTTATGTAGAGGAGCTACTTGGCAACAAGTGAAACTTTCTTTACCATCCATCTGTTTCATTCTAGATTCATTTTGTAGAAAATCGAGGGAAAATGGAAATTGCAAATACATTTTACTTTTTTTTTTTTTTTTTTTAGAACCGGGGATCAAACTCAGGCCCTTGAGCTTGCCAGGGAAGCACTTATTCCACTGAGCCATCTCCCCGGCCCCTTACCTTTTACTTTTTAAGAGTATAAGTCAAGCAAATGCAATAATCACATTTTCACATTTCAGTTTATGTCTGCAGTAATAGATTAAGAGTCTCCAGGATCTTAGTGAGAGAAAAATTGTTCATGATAAATAAAATATCACATTCATTTGATCTCACTGTGCCCTCCATTCTTTTCTCATCTCACACCGCTCTGTTTTTTCCTAGTACAGCTAAATAATTTGAATTTTTAATTTGTTTTCTCCTTAGATTGTCAAGTTCACATCCTCTTCCAATACTCACTCCAGCGCAGGCTCTGTGCTCCACTCCAGGAGGAGGTACATATTGGAGTAAAAGCATAAACAGCCACGAGTCTTCCTTAAGTTGGTTTCTAAAAGCTTAAACCTCAAAGAAGATAATGTAGTCACTATCTGCCAAAAAGGTTACTTTCATGGTGCTCAAAATTGTGGATGGACAAACACCGTGAAATTGAGCAGTACAGGTAGAGCTTACATTATCATGGTTATATCAGTCATCTTAGGTGGTTTAGCAAACGCTGTCAGAATAGTCGAGTCCAAAATCTTTCCTATGTTTTACATCTGCTTTGGGTCTGCTTGGTAGATATCCAAGTTCAAGGTGCAGTCCTTGTTTACTTACTTGTTCCTCCCCAGCTTGAAATCTTTTATCGTTAAATTATTCACTATCAATTTTATCTTTAATTTTCCAGAAATATAATATGCATGAACTAGCAAAGATATGAAAATAACTCCAAATGTGTGATTAATCGATGCATGCATCTATAAATACTTTCATTTTAAATTTTTTTTTCATTAGTACATGTTTACAGTACATAACTAATACATCCATTGTGGGTAATTGCTAAGTGTACATGTCTTAATTCTTCATGCATCCCACTCCCCCTCCCAAAATCTTGTGGAAAAGAGTAATGGCAGCGGCCAAGTTAAAATTTAAAACTTTTGCCTGGAATGGCCTATGTCATTTGCACTCATAAATACTTGGGCAAATTAAGTCATGGCCAAGCCTCATATCTTTGTATAGAAAGTAAAATCTTGTCACTAGGAGGAACCTCACAGGGAGAAGCCCAGAAGGGAGAGTCAGCAAATATTTTCAGCTCAAATTAACTAAGATTCTCATTGTTAAGTATACATTGATTGTTTGCCTGTCTTGCTGATTTTTAAGATACTTTAAGTTATCTTTCCTACATTCCTTATTTAAAGTAGTCAGCATCTTTAATGCTAATCCTTAGCACTCATGCTTTTTAGCAATACCTTTAATGTTAATATTATAGGTTTTTCCTTTCTGTTGAAACTGCAAACTTTCCAAATCATTCACTTCTCTGTCCTTTTCTCCTGATTTTCACTATACAGCTGACTAAAAGCAACCAGCAGTATCCATGCCACAGTTTGAATATTGGACTGCCCTGAAATTTCCCTCTGCCAGATCAATATGTCCGCCATCTTTAAATTGATCCTTACGTGGAGACGTAGGTCATGAGCAAAATGTAGGCAAACTTTTTGCCAGAGTGTAATGCACATGACCTCTAGTACGGTTGCCAATAGAGTTCTCATTCCCAACTGAAAAATAATGACTTTGACCTCACTGTTCACATTCCTAGAGTAGTTTGGCCTTCTGAGCTCCAACCAGAATGTTTCATCAATCTGTGGTCACAGAATTCTGAGGCTTCTCCAGCTTGCATCTCCAAACTCTACCTAACTGCTCCTACAAAATGATTCCAAGTGTTTTTAAAACATAGGGGAAGACACAGTCACAACAGTGACCCCATCCCGGTACCAATTGCTGTGTTAGTAAGTTTTCTTGCTCCTGGGACACACTATCAACCTCCTACCACTTAAGAGTTTATTTTGCCTCATAGGTTTTAGAGGATTCAGTCTGTGGTTGTTTGGCCTCAAGGCCAGGATGACATGGCAGAAGGGCATGGTGGTGGTGTTCATTCCATGGCAACTAGAAAGCAGAGAGAGGAGGAGGAGTCAGGAACCAGAACACAGCCTCTGCCTTACACCTAAAGAATCCCACATGGAAGATCATATCCAGTGATTCTGCCATCTCCCAAATACATGAAAACCTTGGGGGACATTTTAGATCTGAAGCATAGCACACACATCACAGATCTATTTCTCTATTTGGATGTGAAGAAGTTTTTCCATACC